CTAAGAATAGGGTAATTATCATTTATCATTTAATTTGAGAATTATGTGGGTGAAGACCCTTAAAGGGGCAAGTTAGTGTAATTTGAGCACTTAGTCAAATTCTTAATCCTAATTAGACTTAGTGGTGTTTCAAGGATGTTTGATATAATTATGTTTATTTATCTAATCCTCTTTTAGTCAATTTTGATTTAGCCCAAGTCACCACTAAACCCTTAAGACCTAGGTGAGTGTCTTAATTAATTTTGAAAAGGGTTAAGCCTTAAGTGGTCATAATTCATGATTTGGATTTCATTTGAAAATCAAGATAGGGGTATTAGATTGATTAATTATTAACTTCAAAATTTTTACCCCTAAGTCCAGAATTATTTAATTTTAATACACTTTCGAATCTTAATAAGTTAGAAATTTATTAATCTTATTTTTTTTAATGAGGAAAGTGAAATTGGTTTCTACCAATTAACCTCTTGTGTTTTAAGCATCAAATAAATTGATTAAGATCAGAGGTTATCCATTTTTCCTCCTTGAATTAAGCCTAAATGTTAATTAAGGCAAAATTTCCAAAAATACACATTTGTCCCTAAGGCCCTAATGCCTAATAATTTGCCAAACTCAATTCAAATGACTTTGAAATTTTTATCCTACCTTATTAATGGGTCAATTGAGACATCAGAGGAGAAAATGTGATTTTTTTTTCAAAATTTAATTTAATTTATGTAATGATTTAATTATTTTAATGCAAAAATAGGATTTTCCAAAGAAAATTCCTAACTTGACCAAGGTAAATTATAATCCTTTAAAATTTTTACTGGAAGTAGACCCAAACCAGAGAAGCCTTTGGACAAAATTTCATGTTTTTTGAATTCTTTATGATTTATTAGAATTATTTTAATTTCTGGGCTATTTAATAAAAATAAAATATTTTAGGTGGTGAAAATTAAGTTTTATATTTTTGAAAAAATCTCCCAAAGGTTAGAGAACTCAGAGGAGCAAAATTTTATATTTTTTTGATTTTTTCTTGATTTATTGGAATTATTTTAGTGAAAACTCATTTTTACCTTTTTAAAAAAAAATTTTTAGCTTTGAAATTCAATATCTTTATTTAGAAAATCAGGAAAAATATTCTAATTGTTCCTAAGTGATTAGGAAGCAATTTAGAACATTTTCATGAGTTCTTTTATTTTTGTGATTTTTTATGAATTTTTAATTATTTAAATATTTAAAATAGGTTAAAAATTAAGTTTTTAGGCCAAAAATTAAGTTTTTATTTTAAATATTATTTTTTTTTAAATATTCCTGATCATAGAGAACTCAAAAAACTAAGTTTCATAATTTTTTGAGTTATATTTTGATCATTAAAAATCATTTTAATGCCAAAAAAATATTTAACTTGAAAAATCAATTTAGGCCATCAAATGGTCTCAAAATGCTTTGAAATTTTTATGGGGAGTTATTTGTATCATAAACAGTAGTGGAGATAAAAAATAAAGTCATTTTGGTATTTATAATTTCTAAAATTAATTATCTTAGTAACTTAGGGTTTAGGCAAATTAGGTGTATTTTTAATGACTTTACTTATGAGAAATTTTCTTAAGGGTTCTCTGGTCATAGTTAACATTAAAAATTTTCTTGAATTTTTCTAAGCAACATGCTAATTATTATGATTAATTTAAGCAAATAATGTGCATAAACTTGAAAAATATGGATCTCTATCTAGATGTTTCCTCTGAAATTGAGAAAATCAAGAAATGTTCCCCTTGACAGGGGTTACAACATGCCAAAAATTCAAGCCATGGTGAAATGCCTATATGCATGGAGAATCAAACAACTCAAGACAGTGTTTAATTAATTAAAAAAAAACATGCATCAAATGGACTTCAAATTATTTTCAAATTATTCTCTTTGTTCACTGAGCAAGAGGGTATTTTTATTTTATTTTTTGTGATTTTTCTACACAAAGTTATGAATTTTCTAAGTTAAGGGTATTTAAATAAATAAGAAAAGACCCTATTTATCTATTTAAACCGCGCGTGCCACCTCAACCTACGACGGCTCCGAAGGCATGCTTGGCGCGCTCTGATTTGACGCCGCCGTCCACGTAGCTTGCTGACTTGACC